GAGATCACTGGGACAGTTCAGATATCAGAGAAAGGATTTATTTTCACCTGCAGAGAGTTTTGAGGTTCCCCACAGTTAAATTTTGCCTTTCCCACCGCAACCAGGACAGAATTCCTGGGCAATAGTGTCAGATGGCCTGGAGAAACAAGTGTTTCCATGTCCTATGAAAGTGCAGCAATCTTTCTCAGTCATAAAAAAAAAAAAAAAAAAAAAAAAAAGTTCTCCCTCGTTGAAAGTATGTGGCATTCCAGTTATTTTTAAACCGGCAATCTATGTGCTTACATTCAGGTGAAGAAGATCTGTTGAGAACCAGCTACATAGAAGCCCTCCTTCCTAATAAGAATATTTGCTTAATCCTTCATTTCCCCACCCAAGGGTGGGGGTGTACGCAAATGGTAACAATGACTTCACTTCTGGACAATCTAAACAGCTGTCTCAAGTCCACTACTGCTTTTCCTTCCTCCCCTAGTCAGTAGAGTCATTTCTTTATTTAATAAGAACCTACTGAGCACCAACTATGTATGAGACACTTATCCATGACTTTGAGAGACTAACCATTTGCTGAAGGAAAGGAACTCATAAACACTGCCTTACAATGCAGTAGGATCAGCGACCTAACGGAGGAAGGCTCATGGCATGGGGGTCTTTTTGGGGAAGGATCATAAGATTGTCCAGATAACTGACATTTAAGCTGGAAGACTAAGAACTATCCAGATAAAGCAGGGCAGAAAAGACATCCCAAGAAAGCAAGGGAACTTATCCAAGGCACTGAGGCCTGACGGAGCCACCAGCTAAGCACCTGGCTCCCCATAGCTGGAGGGGAGCCCCAGACTAACCAAACCAGGACAAGACTGTTTAGCAAGGGAGTGACGTGGTCAGATTCTACTCTTCAGGTGCAAGTTAGCAATCTGCACAGAGGATTGCTTGAGATAAGGCAAAAGGGATCTGCGTCCCAAAGATCAATTAGCATTCAAGTGACACATGATGAGAGCCTTTTTTGAACCTGAGACAGAGGAATTGGAGCGAAGGGGTTGGATTGAACAGTTGGAATCCATAGCTTATTTGGTGTATGAGGTGGAAAAGAGTATGTCACGGGGGACTGTGATATCTTTATGGAGTTGCCTCTTGGTCAATGGTGTTAAACAAAGTAAGAAATATGGGAAGAAAATTAATTTTGTGGTAAAACAGGTATGTTTGGGGATATGACAAATTTGAGTTGCCTTGGGATATTAAGTGGAGATGTCTGTATGCAATTGGTTGAAAATTTTAGCTAGGTAGATGAAAGATAGATGGTTAAGGATCGATCCATGTAGGTATCAGATATAAGATGGTGGAAAGTGGTGCCCTGGAAATGAAGTCCGTGAGTGCAGTTGAGGCTATGGGAAGAGACCAAGAATAAGAAGAGGAGCAGCCTGTCCAGGGAGACCCTAGACAAACAATAGCTCTTCTGTTCTCACTTCTCTAGCACCTTTCAAATTCTACATGGCTGACTTTTCTCTTCACCCACTGAAAATGGTAAGCTTGCAACTCTGTCTTTCTAATTCCTGAGCAGCATGCTTGGATGGTAGGTGAAAAATTTTCTGGGAAAGACCTCTTACCATTTTCCTTTAAAACATATTGGAGACATTTTATAACTTAAACCACGCAGCTTTTTCCAGAAGTGATGTCTAGAAAAGAAATGCATGATCTCTGTAGTCAAAGACCTCTAAAGAAGCTCTATTGACTATTTTTAGCGTGAATGTAAAGATGAATGCTGGAGATATGGCTGAGAAGTAGAGAAGCAGGGTGGGAGAAGGAGGAGCAAGAGGCTTAGAGAGACTTCATGCCCTTGAGAAGAGGAAAAGTAGCCGATTCGTTAGGGTACCATTTCCCAAACTTCAATCGCTTGTTCTCCACCTTCATGGTTTTTGCAAGATTCCCCATGCTATCTACACAATTATTCACTTCACTTTCTTTCTCTGAATGTATTCACTTTTTAAATTTAAAAACCTGTTTTATATAAAACAGGCAATATCACTTTTGGAAATGCAGACCTGCATCTATTACAAAAAGTATTTAAAAGGACTAGTTTTAAAAGTGAAAGATTTCAATAAAAAAAAGTAGCTAGATAACTATTGCTTGCCCAGGGCTGTGAACCTGAGACCTGCTCTCTCTTTGCAGAGAAATGTGATAAGCCAGCATTAGGAATGTTTTAAAGACATTCTAGTGCCAAACCCAGATTTTCCCCTCTAGGTTATTCGAAATATTGAAATAAATTTGAAAAGAGAACAACTTTCTTGCTAAGGAACTTAACGTTATTTAATCTTGGCTATTATGGTGGCATTCACTCAACCCTTTAGGTAACTTGTGCTAGGATTAATGCTAAGGAGAAGTGAAGGCAGTGATTGGGGCCTAACAGCCTGGGATCACTTGTGGTTTAGAGCCAATTGCCACCCACTTCTCATGGAGTCTACGGCAGTCAAAACAAGAGATTCCATTCACCTTGACGTATGAATTCCTGCAAGCTCCTGAGAGCCATGCATAGAATCTCTAGGTATTGGTGTTGGGGCTGTGCTCTTGGTGAGATAGGATGTATCCAAGTGTTCAATGGTAAGAGGAGAGCCAAGGAGGCTTAGGGAGCAGAGAGAATGAGTTAGAACCAGATGACCCCACATGTCTTGATAGGAGCAAGCAGCATAGCCATAGCCTCCAGCTGGTGGAGCCTCTGGGAAATACTGCTTAGGAAACCATATGCATGGCTAACTTAGCAGCAGCATCTCCAGAGAAGACCTAGTGGGCAATCCATCATGTGCCCATCTGCTTTATGTACAGTGACATGCATTGAACACATCCATCATCACAGAGAGAGATTGCAGCTTAACAAGGCCTGGGGATGAGTATTTCACATCACTGACTCATTTGTTTCTAAGATCTGACTTTCCAGGACACAAAGCAAGTTTGAAGTCATTTGAAATGTTTTCTTAAGAAAATGACAACTCTCATCTTCCCACTGTTACTACAATGGGGATGTTGTTGAGATCTCTTTGCTTTCGTCAAATTAATTGCCCGTTCCCTCCCAATGGCTCAGTTACAAGGGTATAGATCCTGTCTGGGAGAACAGTCTGGCTTTGAATTATAATGAGGGATATATGCATACTATTGCTGTTCTTCTGGAAAGGAAGGTGTGCAGGAAGGTTTGCTAACCCATCCAGGGGTGTAACTTAATTTAGAATGTTTGCTCAAGATGTTTGAAGTAAGTGCTAGAAAAATGCAAACATTCTCAGACTTGTTGGAAGGTCATAGTTTAGCCAAATATTGTCACTTTTAATTCAGCTTAGAATATCAGAATGTCAGAACTAAAAGGGACTCTTGGGACCATGTAATTAAAGACCCTCATTTTTCAGATGAGGAAAATGACTTGCCCAAGGCCAGATCATGAAACTCATAGTAGACTTTGAAATCACCACTTGCCCTTTTTACTTCTATAGGCCAAATAAAAAATCATTTTAAGGTAACAGAAAATACATCATCTGGCTGTGGAAAAGAAGAGAGACTAATCAAGATTTAAATGGAGGTTAGTTCAAATTAATTCTTCTTGTTTATGATGAATAGTTGTGTCCTCTCTGTCTAGACATTTAATAATTTGTGTCCTCCTAATGATTAGAAAATTTGCTCAAGAGAAGAGATATAAAAAAAGAAGCACCAAAAAAGAAAGCCACTGATGAAACTTCCTACCTAGACTTTCCAATGCTGTAGAGCTCTTCCAGAACCCCTTTTTTGAAGGAAGACTTCACATTGAGGTGAAAGGCATTTATCTTTCCTGAATCTTCTGTTATTTGATAAAAACAGGTGGCTCCTCTTTGTAAGGAGCTGTTAGGTTTCATGAAAAGTTGCTCAAGGCCCTGCCTAAGTGCACACACCTCCAGCCTTCCAGGCACATGGTCTCTTACTCAATGATATTTCAGGATTCTGCCAGAGAGAATGAGAAGTTTTAAAAGAAGACATAGGCAGCCCAATTAGGCTCTAGTTTGCTCAGGCCCTGAGCTGCCAGTTTTCAGCAAAAAGAGAACTATAATAGAGAAAGCAAAATTGTTCACTTTGGTCAACAAAATGAGATGTCATCAACTGAAATGACTGCTTTTGACCACTTTTCTGCTATGCCATTGAAAATGGGCTTCCAGCTAAGGGGGCATTGATCTTTCTAGTAATAACAGGTATAAGCCTTTGGATTTGTGCAGAGGTTTACAGTTACAAAAGACATTCACATAGATTATTTCATCTGGTCTTCATTGCAACTCTGAATGGGGATAATTGTTCCCTATGAAGATAAGGAGTGTGAGCCTAGGTTAAGTTAGCTGATGTCAGACTTGGGGATTAAAACACAGATCTTTGACTCCAACTTTACACTGTATATCATGTTTCCCTTTTGTCACTTATAAAAATCTACTTTACTGCAGCAAACTTACTCTGTGCTAGAAGGAAATGACATACTTAGAAATGAACATAAAGTTCTTATCACAGTTCTTGACTGTGCCAAGTAAGTGCTTGGCATGGGATAGCTATTGTTGAGGAAGAAGCAGTGTGGTGGAATAATTAAGATCACAGGTTTGGGATTTGAAAAATCTGGATGTGAGTCCTGACTCTGGCCCTTTCTGTTCTCAGAAAACACTCTATGTGAGCAAGACCAAATGGCTTAACTTTCCTGAGGGTGGAATGAGATGCAAATGTGCATGCCAAGCTTACCATGATGCCTGCACTTGGTGTTTGATAAGTGTAGGGATGATTACAGTCAAAGACTCATAGACTCATAGACTTCGTTGTAAGGAAACAAAACAGTCCCTGCCTTGGAACCAGATGTTAACATTTCATAGTTAAATACCTTGTTATTTTAGTCTCAGATATTCAAAGGCCTCCTATTTTTGCCTCTCTCTTGACTTTCTGCATTTAAGAGTTTGCTAAAGCGTTCAGTGGAACCTATGGCTTTGCAGTCTACAGAGCAGGCCTCGCTTGTGGCCAGGTACCTGTATATGATGCACGCCGTGTTCTGGCAGGTACTGCAATTGTTGAGATCTTGGCCAGTTCGATAAAAGTTGCGCCTGCAAGACAGAGCATTTGCTAGATAAATCTATGGGCAAAAGCCACGTGGGCCACAAACATTCTACCTACTGGTTCCTTAGTCCCTATAGCACAGGATTCACAGTGCTCTGAAGTTGCATGACCATTACGAATAAGGAAACAAGAAAGTCATAGCAATAGGAGCTCACATTTCTAGAAGGCTTTATACATGTTTAAAGACTTCCCAACCTGAGAATTTTTTCATGCTGACAACAATCCTGTGAGATGAGGGATTTTGCAAGCGAGTAGAAGGGAGATTATTAAAAATCCTGACCTCTTAGTTCAGTACATTTCTGTCTGCATCATCACAGTGTTTCTCTCTTATATGGCAGTGCTGATTCTGATTCATACAGCAAACGCCAGTTAATTACTTCTCTCTCCTACCCTTTTTGATGTGCTTTAACCATTGCTTATTCTCTGTCTTTAGAGAGCACCTTCTAGAGGGACAAGCATTTCACATCTAAACAAATAACTGTCTTTTCCTCCTATACTGGTGCTGAGTCACACAAGAAAGCATTTTGTGACTTTTTTCTCTTTTCGGAAAATGAACTGTGCAAAATGAATTGTGATCTCATTTCAGTTCCAATTAGTTGCTCATTGATGGACCAAGTCATCAAAGTGGTCCTACAGGGGAAGGTCAATAATAAACTAAATGGCCACCTCAAGTCCTTTGTCACAATGACACAAAGAACAGAAATACTGTGCAAATGCAGTAACTTGCTAAGAGGAGGGGGCTGGGGAAGTGCCTTCCTGCTACCACTTCCCTCCATCATGTATCAACAGAACCCTTATCTTCATCAAAATCATTTTTGATCCTACTGCTTCACCGCTGCCTTTCCCCATTCTGCTAACACCTGAAAACGAAAACAAACAGCAGTAGAAATCCACAAAAATCCACCAAAGCGTAGAACTAAATGAAATTCCGTTAGAGAAAAGGGAAGGTCTGTGGTTATGATTTGGGGAAACAAAAGTACTTCAACCATTTTGGAGACATTTTTACTAAAGATACCAATGCTGTATCTGCTCTTGTGTTGGCAGATAACTTCACCCAGTCATTTTTAATATGGAAAAAAAAATCCCCTTACCCTTCAGTGAGAGCTCGAGCTTTCTCCAAGTCTTGAATGACATTCAATAGGACTTTAATTTTCTCTTGGTTGGAGTGCAGAGATTCCTCCACAGATTGCAGCCGGCCTTGGAGGTCGCAGAGTTCACCCCGTGCCAGGTGAATTTCATTAATGTCACTAATCTCCCTGTTGCTCTGAAGTTTGGTCTCACTCCTTGGAAGAAAGGATGGGAGGTGATTACTTCCTGGACACTTTGGAAACTCCAGGGTGTCTGACTCTGGAGGGGTGGGGTTGTTTGCCATCTGCTCCTGATACCCAGGGGCAGATTTTGATGTAGTGTTAGTTTTGAGTGACAACAGATTCTGGTGACTAGTACTTGATGAAGGACAGTCTGAGGTTCTTCCTGGGTGGGCTGGCTGGCTGTGGGAGCCTGGTGAGGGGGAACTGTGAGTCCGTGGAGGTGAAGGAACACACGTTTCCTTTGACTGAGGTGACAGTGGGCCAAGGTCTTTGTCATCCGAGTTGTCTTTGGCCAAAAGCAATTCAGGTTTAAGTTTCTCTGTTCCTGGTGTGTGGCTGGCACCGCTGGTGGCATTTAAGCAGGAGGTGGATTTTTCTGAAACTGTTGGAGTCACCCTTCTCCCACCACCTGGACATGTGTTGTCCAAAGGGCGTATGGAGGTACTTACTTCAGCTGACCTGTCTGGGCTGACAGCAGACTCTCTAGCTTCCCAGGAAGGACTGTGATAAATATCATCTGGAACCTGAATGGCAGCTGTGGCTTTCTCTAAGGACCTCCAAGTTCCTGCTTCCAAGCATATGCTAACAGGCCCATTGCTTTGCACCTTGGGGACCCTTGGGAGGAATGCATGGGACACTTTGACCCTTCGAGGCCCATCCTCAAGATGCTGAGCCAACCTTAAGTAGGCTAGGTCAGAAGACACAATGTCCTGTTCAGAGAGGTTGCCGTTGACCTGGATAGCACTTTGGGATGCTGTCGGCATTTCCACCAGGGACTTGCTGGCTGTGAGTTTCTTCCTTTTGAAAACTGGGAAATGCTTCCTGAGACTGGGGGAAGTTTGAATCGCAATGTTGCGAAAGTCCCCTGCCTTCTGGGACCTGGGGAAGGAGAGCGAATAGGTGGGGGGATGATGGTGCCTGGTTGCTTGAGTCTTCCCCATCACAGCTGGGTCTTCTGGAGTTCGGACGTCAACTTCAGCTAGGCCAGTTGGATTCTTAGTGGTCCCATCTTCCTTGAATCTCACCTGCTGGGATTTGCTCCTGCGGTGGTGAGGTTGTTTCACAAACTCCACTGACTCTAGACTGTTGCGCTTTAGAAGCACAGGTCTCACTTTCATATTTTGCTGGGCCATTGAGCCTCAGTGGGAAGGACCAGGACCATACACTTCTCCTGGACACATCTCCCTTAGGTCTTTGGAGTAGTATCTAATGATGGCATCTCAGACATAGAGAACTGCTGGCCAGGTTGGAGTGGTCCTCTTCTTTTAGTATGGGAAATCCCGTTGGCCATTCCCAGCCTCTAGAGTCTACGTAGGAGCTGTCTGTAATGCTTCCCCTGCAGTTAAAATATTAATTCATTGTAGTTATAATTGCTGCTTGGAAAAACAAATGAGTTAGGCTAACTACTAAACATCTGATGTACCAAGAGAGCTGGGAGGCTGTTGATCAAGGGAGGCTGGCATGTGGTTCTGATCTTGGAAGAAGCTGGCCGTCTTGAATAAAAAGACAACAAAAGTACCATTTAGGGGGTAGTGCCAGGCTCCCGGTGAATGAATTCCAAAAGAAACCTGCTACATCTAGAATATACAGCTTTTTTTCCCCCAGAGCATTAATTTCCAGTGTAAAACCGTAGGAAACTTAAACATATCTTCTTTTCATAGCAGGTAAATAGGTGGATAAATAAATGACCTGGGGGTTTGCTTCTTTGATGATACATGATGCTCCCAAGGGAACACTCCCGTTTATGTCAATCACAGATTCCTCCTTTGGGGCCATTGTTTTCTTTCATGCTGTCTCTCTTTTCTTCAGTGAAGAAAACTTATCTTCCTAAATAGCCTCACAAAACCCAGTGGGATATGACGACGACAGGATTGAGGAATCATTGGGGATTCAGTGGGCAGAGTCCCTGTTGTGGTATCTTGACTGAAGTTCACCTGTGGGCAGTGAGCTATGTCTGCAGCCTCCAGGATGATGTATGTTTGCTTGGCCTCAAGGGCTGGGTCTGAGACAAGCCAGTCTACAAGCAGGCGAGGAGCACCTGAAAGGGAAGAGACAACAGTCGCCACTGAGAAGGCAGTTTCTGTGGACCTAGGTTTCTCTTCAAATTCCAGCTTCCTAGCTGAATATTTTGAGTGGAGGATCTAGGAGTAAGTGAACCACGTGGCCCTTCTCTCTGTTCTCCTTGTGAGCCAGGCACTTTGTGGGTGCAGGGCCTTGGAACGAAATGGCTATCTGCCTGGACCCTTTTCTGTCTCCATGCCCACGCATCACCCAGCCGACTCTTACTCATCTGTCAAGTCCCAGCGATTTCTCAGGGAGCCTTTACGATGACTCCCCCTTACTCTCATATCCAGTGCCTGACCACATCAGGGCCCATTGTACATCCTCACCACATTTTTCACAACATAAATTGCAGCTGTTGTTAAATGAGCATTTGTGTATGTATTTGTTTAGTGTGAATCTCCTCCACTACCCTGTAGACTCCAGGAGGGCAGAGGCTGGAACCATCTCCTTCACTGCTTGAGTATTCCCAGCCCTCTTTCCAGCTCACTGTAGGTGCTGAAGGAGAATTTGTTGAAAGAGTGGATGGTTAGATAAAGGGCAGGTACTTCTGAAGCAAGGGAGAACCTGGGCAAGACGAGGGGTGGAGGTCCTCAGGTGTCCTGCTAGGGCAACAGGACCTGTGGACTCGTTCTGCTATGACTGCAACATTTACTTAAGGACAAGGTTTTCCCCCTGATATTTTCATATCTTACTGCTTTCCAGGAGATAAATGTGCAGGAACTTCTCTGAGGAACAGCTACCTCATAATAATGATAGCCACCATTTATTGAACACATACTTTTACCATGCTGACAACTTCACATGTGTTAATTAGAATAACTCATATTTACTGAGTACTAACTGATGGGACAAGTGCTGTTTTAAGCACTTTCCAAGCCATAACTCATTCATTAATCACACACTACTCCATACGGGTAGATAATATTTTTGTCCCCATTTACAGTTGAATAAACTGAGGCCCAGAAAGGGTGAGTAACTTGCCTAAAGTTACTTACAACAAGTCCGTGAGGTGCCATTATCCCGCTTAGATGTATGGGGAAATTGAAGCTCAAAGAGGGTAAGTACTCAGTAAAGGAGCTAGAATTTGAACCTAGGTGGCTCTCATTTCAAAGTCCACATCCTTAACCATGAGGTTATGACTCTGCCCTTTTGGGATCTGCCTCATATGTTGACAGTTGTGAGGACAAGGGTAAAAGACCCTTGCAGATCTGGAGAGACACAGGAAACTGCTTGCGGGCCACGCCATGGGAAAGCAAGCCAGAGGGATCACCGTGGCACTGAGATGAGGAGAATTCTAAGGCTGTCTGGATTGACTAAGGGTTTTTTAAAGAAAATAAAAATAATAACCCACAAGTGTTTGGATGGCTCTGAGAAAGTCGTCTTAGAACTCAGCTTATTGGTCTGTTTTCATACGACTAATAAAGACATACCTGACACTGGGTAATTTATAAAGAAAAAGAGGTTTAATGGACTCCCAGTTCCACCTGGCTGGGAAGGCCTCACAATCATGGCAGAAGGTAAAGCTGGAGCAAAGTCACATCTTACATGATGGCAGCATGCAAGAGAGAGAGCGTGTGCAGGGGAACTCCCCTGTATAAAATCAGCAGATCTTGGGAGACTTATTCACTATCATGGGAAAGACTTGCCCTCGTGATTCAATTACCTCCTACCAGGTCCCTCCCACTACACCTGGGAATCATGGTAGTTACAATTAGAGATTTGGGTGGGAACACAGCCAAACTATATCACCAGCCAGCCTTACCATACAGATAGAAACCTTTGCTCATAAATGGAGACTGTTACTAACATTTTCTGTCTTACTATTTGGGTTGCTCATTGTGAGTGCAGCCTAAACTTCGTCTATCATACTTCTGCTTTCCCTAAGAGTTGCTAGATAATGCTCATATAAACTTTGGTTTTCCCTGCTCCTACGTGCCTTGAGAGAGTCCAGCTAACCCAGTGAGGCTCGGAGACTGTGTGGCAGGTCCTGGAAGAGACTTGGATTCATCCAAAGTGCTAATGAGTTGTCAACTAGTCATCAACCCTTACAACTAACTACTGCTCACATTCCGAGTGTACCTTAGAACTGGATTCAAACCCTGCCCCTCACTGACTGAAGGACTTTGTGTGTTTTTAATCTGTAAAGTGGGGATGACATAACATAGACACAAACTCAAAAGTCTGATGAGAAGTCAGTAAGACAGTGTATGCAAAGCTCTCAGCCCAGAGCCTGGCACACATTAGGCAATCTGTGCGTGTTTCCTACCATTGCTGTTATCACTATTGCAATCACCTGCAGCCAGGGCTTCTTACTGTGAATGCCAGGGTGTGTGTATGTATGTGCTATTTCTGAGGAGTGGGACCATAGCTTTCAGCCAAGCTCAGGGAGCTCTGAGTCCCAGTGGTGGATGAACCACCATCTGTAGCTTTTCCAGAGCAGGTAGAGCCATCATGGGACAGAATGAGCAGTTTTATGAGCAAGCGATTCCTTATTTGCCTTGCCTGTTTGAAAAGCAGGGTTGGCTTCTGGCAGTGGCATCGTCACATACCTCCCTGAGGAGATGAACCTACTGCTCCTGAGTTGCTTTACACAAAAATTCCACACAACCCAACTTTTAAAACTGGTTCCATGTTTCAATGACTTTGTGTAGAATTTTTAGGTCTGGGAGAATCCCGTAGTCACTTTCCTCAGTCCCTGACTAAATCCTTTCTGTGTCTTCCTCCCCAAATAATAATTAAGCCTGCCTGGATACCTGTGATGATGGGGAGCTCAGTACCCAGTTCCCTAGTCCATAATAGTTATTTTCATTAACAGTAGCAAATATATATTAAAATCTTACTGTTAAGTGCTGTGTTAGCACCTGGCATTTAATACTCAAAATGACCTTCTGTATATTATCCCCATTTTGCAGAGTAAGCAGTTGAAGTTTATGAGATGGTCACATGCCTGAAAACATGCAGCTCATACTCTTCATCTTTGTACTGAAGAGCCTAGAATATTTATATGTCTACTTTTGTGGTTTCCTTGACTAATTAACTTTTGCCTTCTTCTTAACTGCTCGTTAGCACTCATTCTGGGAACAATAACTCACACAGGCTACGACTGTCTGAGGCTGGTTTTCATAAGAGCTAATGTATAGTACACTGATTATGTGCCAGGCATTGTGATTGGTGTGTTTCGTTTACTCTCTTCCTTAATCCTATGACACTGTTAGAGGCAGGTGCAGTCAGTTCCCCATTTTGTAAATGAGGAAACTGAGGCACAGAAGGTTAAGATATTTGTACCAAGTTGTTCATACTAATAAGTGATAGAGCTGACATTTGGACCCACAGACTGACCCTGAAGCACAGGCTTCTCACCATTGGGCCTTCCTGCCTTCTTCAAGACTGGAAAGACTAATATTTTTGCGCAAGGCTAGCAAGCAGGTTTCAAACTCCCTCCACGTTTCCATTCTGAAAGTCAATCATTATTCTGGTGTTAGCCCTGCCTTTTCTCCAGGAAGTTATGTATCCTATAGATGTTTTCTTTTGTTCTTTAAAAGCAATTGGTTTTCTGCTTATAAAGATATTATTCATTCATTGTAAAAATAAATAATAATACAAATAAACAAAAAATGGAAGAAAAAAATACATGATATCTTACCAACCGGAAAGAGCCACAATGCGCCAACAATTTGGTGACATTCATTCTAGGCATCTCCCTGAGCAGTGCTTGCACAGAGCGATGCACAGACAAGCTGATGGACAGAAAGCCTTTTTGTCACTGAACAACCTGGAGAAAGTTACACATTGTGGCTTACAGGTCACACTGTTCTTTCAAGTAGGTTAACATGAATCTGTTGTCTAGTTACACGATTATCTATACAGTACTTTTGTAGCTATTTCAGTTGTCTCTAAATATTTGGTATTATTAGTAATTCTACAAATAACATTTTTTATATGTGAATCTGGGAGCACTTGTCTAATTATCTCCTTGGAATAAATGCCTGGAAGAAGAATTAGTTAGTCAAAATAGCCATACATTTTACATTTTGTTGACACTACCATGTTACCACTCATCCTTCCATAAAGTTCTACTTTAATATGCAACCCTGCCATTCCTGAATGAGAAGTCCTTTCACCAGGACTTTCTTGTTACTGAGTTTGGTCAATTTGTGATCATTGCTTTTGTCATTGCCAATAAAGTAGAAAAGAAATTGTATCTCATTCTCGATATGGAATTTATGTAAGATTGGAAATTTTTTCACATTTATTGATTTTACACATTTGGTACAAGTAAAGACTGAAAAGTTGAAAATAAAAATGTGGATAGTCAAGCAAATGTGGAAAATCTCGTGTCCTGGACAAAACCTAAGGCGTTTAGGAAATACTAAATTTTCTCTTTACAAAAACATTTTGTGTCCCAACTCTTTTTGCCCTTGATGTCCACTGTGACCTGCACAAACACATCCTGGGGGATATACCAGGCTAATAGGACCCTCTGGAGGCCCTTAAGTCTTATGGGCTCCCAGCTGTCCATTAATTCACAGTTCCCCAGGCATTGGTGGTTAGGGCTAAATTAATATTTTGGCCAGAATCCAGAATTATTCCCCAGAGGTAGTCACAGTGGCCCTGCAGGTGGGGGTTATTGATGATCTTTGCAACACTTTATTCTGTCCTCCACTGATTATTGACTTTAGTGAACATGAACCAACTGTTTGTGTTCCAGCTATGACTTGGGCCCACATCAGATGGTCCTCATGGAATCAGTGTCCATTCAGTAGACATAGAAACATTTCACAGTATCTCTGTAGGTCACAAACTGTGGGCTTTCTCCAGAATTCCAGCCCATTCCTCTTTTCTCAGTGTATTTAGGGAATACAGTGAGGCATTAAGTGCATAGGCTTTTGCTTGTGATGTTTAAAAGCAGTTGGTTTTCTGCTTATAAAGATATTATTCATTTTATTTTTCTGGATGAGACTCTTCCACTTTCTG